GAGGGCCATGCATCTGATATTTCTGAGTGTCGCGGATCCTGTACTCAGAAAGATCGAGTGGTGTACGACGACAGCAGAAGCCTGGGCGATACTTGAAAAGGAATACATGCCTCAGTCTTTACCGAACAGAGTATACGCACAGCTACAGCTTTACGGCTTCAAGATGCAAGATCACAAGACTATCGACGAGAATGTCGACGAGTTCTTGAAGCTAATCAGAGAGTTGAGTCACCTGAGCATCCAAGTACCAGAAGAGGTCCAAGCAATACTTCTTCTCAACTCCCTACCAACGAGGTATGATCAGTTCAAAGAAACTCTGAAGTACGGGAGGGAATCGATTAAAATGACGGATGTGGTAAGCTCGGCGAGGTCCAAAGAGAAAGAGTTAAGAAACAGCTCGAGCTCAAAAGGTAGTTCTGAGGGACACTACGCCAGAGGAAGGTCAGAGAATCGCGGTGGCTCACATGAGGGCAAAGGAAAGAATAACAGATCGAGGTCTCGGTCTAAAGATGGCAAGAAGATTTGCTGGATATGTGGCAAGGAAGGTCACTTCAAGAAGCAGTGCTACAAGTGGTTAGAGAGGAACACAGGCAAACATCAGTCGCAGGGTAAAGGAGAATCGTCTCTGGCAAAGGATGATGCTCAAGACTTGGTAGGTTTGATCACCTGTGAGGTGAACGTGTCGCAAGCAACAGTTGATCATGAGGAATGGGTCATGGATACAGGATGCTCTTTCCACATGACGCCGAGAAGAGACGTGTTCATCGAGATGCAAGAAGTGTCAACAGGGAGAGTCAGAATGGCAAACAACACAAACTCAGAAGTCAAAGAAATTGGGTCAGTGAGGTTCATGAATGCAGATGGTACAACATTCGTCCTTCACGATGTCAGGTATATGCCAGACATAGGAAGAAACTTGATATCAATGGGAACATTGGAGAATAAAAGTTGCGAGTTCAGAGGATCGAATGGTATTCTGCGAGTGATTAAGGGCTGTACTGTGATCATGAAAGGAGCTAGGAACGGCAGGGATACACTGTACATCCTACAGGGCAAGGCAAAGTCGTCAGAAGCTTGTGCGGTGACATCTCAGTCGGTGAATCAGAATGAGCAGGATACAAGCTACACTCAGCTTTGGCATAGTCGTCTGGATCATTGTGGTCAGAAAGCTCTCGAGGTTTTAGCTAAGAAGGGTTGCCTAGAGGATAACAAGATATCAGAGGTCAAGTTCTGTGAATATTACATTATAGGAAAGACACACAAGGTCAGTTTTGGGCCTGCTCAACACGTAACTAAGGAGAAATTGGACTACATTCATTCGGACTTGTGGGGTTCACCAAATGTTCCCATGAGTCTAGGAAGGTGTCAGTATTTCATATCTTTCACGGATGACTGGTCGAGGAAAGTTTGGATCTATTTTTTGAAGACTAAGGATGAAGCTTTCAGTCGGTTTGTCGAGTGGAAGAAGATGGTGGAGGTTCAGTCTGAGAGAAAGGTGAAGAAGCTTCGTACAGATAATGGTTTGGAGTTTGTTAACCTTCGGTTCGACACGTTTTGCAAAGATGAGGGTATTATCAGGCATAAGACAGTAGCTTACACCCCGCAGCAGAACGGAGTTGCAGAGAGGCTAAACTGGACCATCATGAATAAAGTTAGAAGCATGCTTAGTGAGAGCGGATTAGAGCAGAGGTTTTGGGCTGAAGCTGCATCAATGGCCGTCTACCTGATAAACAGATCACCTTCGTCAGTGATAGGATTCGAGATTCCTGAAGAGAGATGGACTTCAGCTGTTCCTAATCTGTCTGGTCTGAAGAGGTTTGGATGTGTTGCGTATATACACTCCGATGAGGGAAAGCTGCAGCCTAGAGCTAAGAAATGGATCTTCACGGGTTATCCAGAAGGGGTTAAGGGTTTCAGGGTGTATCTGCTTGAAGATAGGAAGTGCACGATCAGTCGCAATGTTGTTTTTAGAGAAGATGTCATGTACAAGGACATCAAGTCAGGCAACAAGTCAGGTAATGATTCTATCTCTGTGAATACAGTTATTACTAATCAACTTTTGAGTTTTGATCTTGCAGGAAACAGGGAAACAGGAGACTTAGCTCAAGGTGGAGCTACGGAGGATACAGCTCAGGGTGGAGCAATTGTAGAAGTGCAAGCTCACGGAGGGGATGATCAAGTTGATGAGGAGTCTTCGCAGGATACGGCACTCACTCAATCAGAAGAAGAGCGTCCCAAAAGATTGACTAAGCTTCCAGAGAAGCTTAGAGATTTCGTCATGTATCGTGATGATGATGACGATGACATTGCTGGTTATGCTTACTTGGTGGTTGAAGATGGGGGTAAAACAGAGCCCCAAAGCTTTCAAGAAGCTTTAGCTGACGCTGATAGTTAGCTATGGGAGCGAGCATCTGATGAAGAGATGGAGTCACTAATGAAGAACGGGACATGGATTCTGGTGGACAGAGTGAAGGATCAGAAACCAATAGGCTGTAAATGGGTATTCAAGAGGAAGTCCGGTATAATTGGTGTTGAGGGACCAAGATTTAAAGCGAGATTAGTTGCAAAGGGATACTAGCAGACTGAAGGAGTTGACTACCAGGAGATATTCTCTTCAGTGGTGAAGCATGTCTCCATACGTCTTCTTCTCTCAGCAGTGGTTCACTTCGACATGGAGCTTCAACAGATGGATGTGAAGACGGCTTTCTTACACGGATACTTAGATGGGACGATATACATGGAGCAACCAGAGGGATACGTGGACAAGAAGCATCCGGAGAAGGTGTGTTTGCTCAAAAGGTCTCTCTACGGGTTGAAACAATCTCCACGACAGTGGAACAATCGGTTTGATGATTTCATGCAAAGCAGCAAATACAGCAGAAGCAAATATGATACGTGTGTCTACTACAAACAGCTGAAGAATGGGGACTACGTGTATCTACTGTTGTACGTAGATGACATATTGATTGCTTCGAGAGATAAGAAGCACGTTGAGGATTTGAAGAAACTTCTCAAATCAGAGTTTGAGATGAAAGACTTGGGAGATGCCAAGAAGATATTGGGAATGGAGATTAGTCGAGACAGGGTAAAGGGCACTTTGACCGTGTCTCAAGAAGGGTATCTTGGCAAGGTGCTGGGAAACTTTGGCATGGATCAGTCGAAACCAGTCGCGACGCCAATGGGAATACACTTCAAGTTGAAGTCGGCAACAGATGAAGAAGCGAAAAACCAGTTTGAAGATATGAAGAAAGTTCCTTATCAGAGTGCAGTTGGGAGTTTGATGTACTCCATGATCGGCACAAGGCCTTAGCCTACGCAGTTGGGCTAGTCTGCAGATTCATGAGCAAGCCGATAAAAGAGCATTGGCAAGCGGTGAAGTGGGTTCTCAGGTACATCAGTGGTTCTCTAGGAACAAAGCTTTGCTACAGAAAGGATGGAAACTTCGTAATCAGAGGCTACTGTGATGCGGATTTTGCAGCAGACTTAGACAAGCGGCGATCAATCTCAGGCATGGTTTTTACTACAGGAGGAAACACCATAAGTTGGAGATCGAGTCTTCAGAAGGTTGTCGCTTTGTCAACTACAGAAGCAGAGTACATGTGTTTGTCTGATGCATCAAGAGAAGCAGTGTGGCTGAAGGGGCTAGCGAATGAGTTGGGGTTTAAGCAGGAAGCAGTGAGTATCTACTGCGACTCTCAGAGTGCTATCTCGTTAGCCAAAAACGCAGTACACCATGAGAGGACGAAGCATGTAGATACGAAGTATCATTTCATTCGTGATTTGATAAGTTTTGGTCTGGTAAAGGCTGAGAAGATAGCTACTGCGTATAACCCTGCAGATATATTCACAAAGTCACTTCCGGTGAGTAAGTTTCAAGATGCTTTGGAGCTGCTCAGGGTAACAAAGGGATGAGCGTGAGTCGGGTTAAGTTATTAAAGCTGAGTGGGTTTACTCAGAAGCAAGGAAGCTGAGAGAGTTATTCTCGGGGTGCTTAAGGTGAAGCACAAGCTGCTGTTGAATGCAGGATGAGCGGGCTTGCTCATGACCGGAGTTGGGATCTTGAAGCTAACACAAGTCTAAACGCGGATGAAGTTTAAGGTGGAGAATTGAAGGTTTATTGATCTACATCTGGTTATCTCAGTTAATAAGTCGGGTTTAGCTGAACCGGTTACGCGTGTGCAGCGCACGTGTGATGTTAGCTGACTGTTACGACTATTAGTCTTATCGTCTTCCTCTATATCTTTTAGATCATTCGAGAGAGGTAGAGAAAGAAGTTCTGAGCGATTGTAATCAAAGATTGTTAAGCTCGGTAAAGAGCAAGTGTTAGTAGATTCCAGAAGAATTCCGACGAGACGTAGGATTCCGATCTGGAACCTGAACTCGTTAAATATTGTGTATGCTCCCGCTTTCTTTTCTTTCCCTTTGTCGATTCATTTCCAAATTCAAAACAGAATCGTACAAAAAGTATGAATGTTTTTTATTAAAAAAAAATTGAATCTGATGAGAAAATTATTATTATATATACACACATATTCTTATTACAAGAAATCTGATACTCGACAATACTAATCTTTATATATTTATGTTAATCATCCAAATATTTAAATCTCCGACATTAAGTATATATTAACGGCTTCTTGTAATAATAGAAACGCGTTTAAAGAGAAAAAGAAACCTAACTCCGTTTTGTTGTTCCAAAGTCGTAACCTGCTCCATTATCCAATATCCATGGACAACACACCATTCTCTCTCTCTCTCTCGTTTTATATCATCCACTTCCGTACCTGTCGCCTTCAATTTAATCGCATTTAATCTACGCGTTTCGCGTCCGACACTGCGTCGGTGATGTCACCACCACAATCTCCTTGACTCAAAAAGTCAAAAGTCATAACAGTGAAAAAAAAAGCTTCCATCTTTATTGCTAAACCGAAATTCCGGCGAAAAAAGCTTGTACCTTTATTTCAGTAAAATCGAATCATCGGCAGAACTTTCACCGGAGAATGCAGATTCCGGCACTGAGGTCTTTCTCTTTCTCTAATTGTCCGACGGCAAGCGTTTTTGCTGAAACTTTATTTTACTTTTTAACTGTTCCTTTTGCGAAATGTTCGGTGAAGAAAGCAAAAGACTTTCCTGATTTTTTGCTTTTTATATAAATCTCTCTCTTTCCGATCTCTTTCCCCTTTTTAACGTTCTCCGTGATATTTCTCTCTCTCTGTTCTTAATTCTTAGGGTGTCGGTAACGCACTTGCCGCGTTTGCGTTTGTAATCGCTACTGGAAGTTATCTCTATGGGCTAATTAATGCTTCTGATTCGAACGAATTTCTTCGCTCTTAATTATCTAGATTCTTTCTTTATTTCCCAAGATTTTTGGTTTCCCTTCATGATCTCGTTCAAAGTTCAAGTCTTTTGTTTTAAAAAAAAAAACGTCTCATTTCTCCTGAATCCGAAGTTTTTCTCTTCTCAATTATTGGTTTGTCTTGTGTACTTCAACTTCTTCTTGGACTTGCTTAAGAAAGTTTCTGTTTTTTTTGTTTTGTTTCTAACACTTTGTTGTGATTGATGTTTCAGGCGTTGAAGAAATGAATCGAAATCAAAGAAGAAACGTTCATCAGCCTCAAGGCGTTGGGAGACAGATTCCAGGATGTTTGGGTCGGATGGTAAATCTATTCGATTTCGGAACAGTTAGTGACGGGAAGAAATTGCTCACTGAGAATCCTCATTTTGATGATGGTTAGGTTTCGTCTTATCTCTTAAAAACCTTTTGCGGATGTTAAAGTTATAGTCTTTTAAGTCATGATGATGAATTGATGATGATGATTGCTTCACAGGGAGGAATCAATTTGATCAAATAGAAGATGAAGTTGTGAGTTTTCAACCTGTAAAGACAATTGCTTTATCTCTGAATGTTTCTGCAAAGTGCTCATCTTTCTGTTGATTGTGTTTGCAGGATGTGAGGAATAGTAATGGAACACCGATGAAGAAGCTTCTAGAACAGGAAATGTCGAAAGAGATGGAATATAACCTCGGTTCGACGAATTTGGTAGCCAAGTTAATGGGTCTTGATTCTTTTCCTCAGACACAACCTGATGCACCTGTTCGAAGGAGTACTAATAGCTCGAAGTCTCGGCTAAAGAGGTCGTTAAGCCATGGGGAGTACAAAGATGTGTATGAGATTTGGGAGAAACCTTGTAAATTAAGTAATGGCGTGGAAGGTTTAAGCAAGAAGAAGATGGACATTGTCCGTGAGAAGTTCTTGGAGGCGAAACGTTTGGTTACAGACGATAAACTTCGACATTCAAAGGAGTTTCAAGAAGCTATGGAGGTTCTGAGTTCCAACAAGGAGTTGTTCCTCGAGTTTTTGCAGGAGTCGAATAACTACTTCTCCCATCACCTCCACAGTTTCCAGCACTTGGCGCCACAAACACCGGAGAAGTCGAAGAAGATCACTATCTTGAAACCTTCTTCAAAGACCATTGATGATGAGAAGTTAGGAAACGAAGCAGCCATTGACGGTATGAAGAGTGAGAACGGTCTTTGTATGTTCGAATGGCCTGTTGAAGAAGAAGAACATCCTACGACGAAGAAGAAATCAACTCGGATAGTTGTTCTGAGACCTAGTGGTCATGTCACAAAGGCTTCATCATGTCCAACTTCTCCAAGAGTTTTTGAGGAGAGAGAGTCGAAAGATGTGGCTAGGAGAGTGAAGAAGCGAGAGATGCTTAAAGAAGAAGCTATACATTCTTCAGTCTTCTCCAACGACGATAGTTCTGTAAACAGATTTGAGAATGATTATGCAGATGATTCTGAGATCATGTCACCGGTTTATAGGCATTCATGGGATTATATCAACAAGTACGATAGCCCTTTCTCTTCTTCTCCCTTTAGTAGAGCCTCAGATTCTCCTGAGTCTTCATCGGTCTGTAGAGAGGCCAAGAAACGGCTTTCTGAAAGATGGGCATTGATGGCAGCATCCAATGAGAGTTTGCATCAGGAGGAGGACGAAGTTATCCAGAAGAAAGGTGGTAATAGTACTTTAGGTGAAATGCTTGCACTTTCGGATTTAAAGAAAGATCTTAGAACTGAAGAAGAACAAGAAGAAGAAGGAAGCGATGTTAATGAAGAACAGGGTCATAGAGTGTCTGCATCTTGCTTAGCTGGTGATTTCAGTAGTGAGGAAAGCAATTTCAAAGCTTTTAAAAGGTCAAAATCTCTTCCTGAATCATCATCGACAAGTCTTGGTCACAAATCTCTTGATACCAACAAGAGCAAATCCAAAGCTCCTGAGGAGTTGACAAAGTCAAAGAGCTTGAAATGGAATCTGAAAGGTAAAGTCTCAAACTTTCTCTTCTCAAGGAACAAGAAAGCCACTAAAGAGAGATCTTCTGAGGAATCTGAAATCTTGGATTCTCGGTGTACCGATGAGTTTGATGCCTCGTCTACAAGAAGCACGATTTCTCGAGAGGTATTGTTAATCATATAAAAACAACACATTTTTTGATTTTCAATCCATTCAACAGTTGATGCAATCTCTAAAAGGCTTCACTCTTTCTTTTAACAGGCAGGCTTGTCGATTGCAAAGTCAGCAACTTTTGGAAACTATGAGCCGAGTCCAAATTCGGTTTTGGAAACTTCTTTTGATGAAGAAGATGGAATCTTTTTCAGTTCCTCTGTTTTGAACAGAGCATCATCCTCTTCTCTTGGTAAGGTTTTCATTTAATAAAGCTACACTCTTTTTCTTTAATCCTGTTTTCATGTCAATTCCTTATTAAACCGGCAAAATCTTGGCAAAAAAACAGAACCGGAGATGAGATCCAACTTACTAGGCAAATCGCCTCCGATAGGATCCATTGGTCGGAGTTTCTCATTCGAAGACTCGACAGTATCTCGTTGCTACTCATCGAAACGCTCTGTTAATTCAACAAGAGACGAGGAAGAAGACTTGCGTCTCCTCATCAACACACTCTTATCAGCAGCTGATCTCGAGTCAGAGTCATCATCGCCATCGTCAATCTTGGACAATCTTTTGTCTAAATGGCATTCCGTAGAGAGCCCATTAGACCCATCACTGCGAAACAGCTACGCGGATTCAACGGAGCAGCAGAGACTCGGATCAAACGTGAAGAAGCTAGCGTTTGACCTCGTCAACACGCTGCTCTTGGAGCTAACACCGAGCTATCTCGGACCTCGTAGCTCCATGGTTCTTCTCTCCGGTAAGACGTTGCGGGTTTACTTGATAAACCGGATGCAAGAATGTTTAACCGGTAATGGGAGAGTGGAAGATCGGTGGTGGGATGAAGACGGAGACTTGAGTAGCTTGGCGGTAAATAAAGTGGTGAGGGTTGAAGTGGCGGAGATTGGTTCGCAGGAGAGTTTGAGATTGGAGATGGATTCAATGGGAGAGGAAGTAGAGTTGAAGTTGCTTGAGGAATTAGTGGAAGAGGTTTTGATGGATTTGTCTGAGGAACACAAATTGTTTATTTCAAGTGTTTGTTAAATCATATGAATGTATATTATTATTGTTATTATTGTTATATGGTCTTCTCGTGTGTATAAAAAATATGGCGAATCTCTAACATTGTATTTTTTTTTTTTTGGTTTCTGTTTTTGGGTGAACGATAATGAAAAGTAGTGTTATATTATATGGATTTTTAGAATTAATCATAAGACTCGGAAATGGTTTAACTATTCAGTTTTGAGATAAAAAGTTTCACAAAACATTTTTAGGTGCAGCTCTTTTTCGGAACTTTCATATAGTAACAGACTTATGTCCAAAACAACATGATCAGTGACTATATATGGTTTCAAAATGAATTTTATAATAAAGGACGCTTTAATATTTTCCACTTCATCAATAGGATCACAAATACTCAAAAGCCAAATGTTTGATATATGTAATCCCAAATTGGCAGAGTTTAACGACAGTATTTACGGTGGTAGCAGAATTTAACATACATATAACTTTTACTTAACAGAAATTAACATATAAAATAAGTTTTCGTCATTTATCTCAAAGAAAATGCACTCTAGTCCTCATAAGTCATAACCTCACGTCGTTCGTTGTATTCTAGCTCGCAAATCACTCTGTCTCATTCTTTCAACTTCTGATATTTTTCATCGTGTAGTCTTTGAAATTTTTCTTGCAGTAAGAAGGAAATAAATTGGGACTCCAGGTTCACTCAGCAGTCAAATCATACTTTTTTTTTATAACTTCTGACGAGATTGACTAATTTTACAAACATCAAAAAGTTAAGAAATAAAATTCTTAGCTATATGAGTAGTAGATCAATCAGAAACACATAGTCAACACCTGGCTCTTGATATTGAAGAAGCAGTGATTAGTAAGAAACAAGCAAGTTGGAGAAAAACACAAAGATTTTAAGATTTTTATACTCACGTTATTGGTGAACCTTAGATTCAACCTTGGATAATTCGTATTTTATTGATAACAAGAATCGAAAGATTACAGAACGGACTCGTCAAAAGTACTGAAAAGAGGGTTCCCAAAAATTGGGATCCCGAGCGAGAAGCTCTAACACGAAAGTCGACCTCCAAAAAGGAGAAGCTTATTACAACGCGTGATTAAAGCTTAATTCCGTAAAATCCGGAGCAATGAATCGATTCTTTCGTACTGCGTACGGTCCTATTTATAGGAAATTAGGGCAGTGGCTTCGCTGGGTATTTTTGACGAAATTGACCTTGTCGGGCTTTGCTCTTCGGACTTGGGCCGAGCTGGGCTTCATTGTTGAACCTGGGCCGAGCTGATACTCCTGGGCTTTAACCTTGAATTTGGGTCAAAGATTGCTTCTTCTTCTTGGGCCGAGCTGATCTTGGGCCGAGCTGACATCGGGCCTGAAAATCGACTTGGGCCAGGTCGATTAAATAGGCCTTGAATAGGCTCAGTACCAACAGTAAGTCTCCCCCCAGTCCGTTTGATGAAAAGTTTTGACCTTGAGTCAACGGATTCTTCGAATTGTATTGCCTCGGCGCAAATCTGGATCAGCTCGGAGTGGGTCCGTGTACGGTTTTGTTGGTACAGACGTGGGTTCCGGCGTTGCTTTAGGTCAGGCAAGTGTTCCCTTTTCCTCTCTTGCTTATAAATACTTCTTTCTCCCCTTTTTTTTTCTGCCTCTCTTCTCTCTTTCAACAATGTTCATTACCAAGGTAAACTTCTTTTCTTCCTCTTCCCCTTTTTTTTTTGACTTGATTTCCGGTTTCGCCTTGTCCCACCGATTTTGCCACTGTGGTTCTCTCGCCCTATCTGCGACTTGCCGTCGTCATGGATCTCTGACCGGGTCGTGGAGGTCGGCATTTTCTGAGCCCGGGATTCGGTCGTCCGGTCGCTGTTTGGTTGATTGGCGACAGTGAATTGTGGTCGGCATCCCTTTTTTTTGACTCCGGTCGGTGTTGATGTTGCTGGTCGTCATCGGCGCCGGCTCATGGTGAAGCTTCCGAATCTCAGCTTCCTCCGCGTCTCTGGTTTAGAGATTTGATGGGGGGTTCGATGTTTGATTTCAGGTTTTCACTTTGCCGAATTTGGATTGCCGAAGAAAACTGCTAGCGTTTGTTGGCGGCGGCTTTGTTTCAGGGTCTTCAAATTCCGTGTTATTTGGACATTAGGTCTGATTGTTGGTTTCGTCTTCTTTTGCTGGCCTGGGCTCGATGTGGTGAGTTTGATTTGTCTTTCCGAGGTCCCTGCTTAACTCGTTGGTTCAAGCTTTGGAGGTCGGCCTTTGACTGCGTGTTATTCAAAACCTGATTTGCTCAATCATGGTCGACGCAGCTCTCACGTCGTAGGCCGGCGTTTCTCTGGCGTTTTCCCTGAAATCTTCCTTAATCGTTGTTTTCGCTTGGTGTCGGGGGATTTCTCTCGAAGTTTGGCAGAGACAGTCGCCATTCCCTTGAAGGGGGGGGCAAGGTCGGCAAGTGCGTAGGTCGGCTTAATTAGTTTTGCGAGCTCGACACTCCTTTTTCTGGGCTGGATGGTTGTTTGTTCGCTGGTTGTTAGCGCGTAACTTTTCAGACAAAGGTCGGCTTACTTTGGACAAGATCGAGGTCGGCCTCATATTCTGTTGCGAGGGAGGCTTAAGCTTGGTCAACGTATTTCGGACAGGGGTAAGATCGGCATTTCTGTTTTGTTGGCATTTATTTCCGTTACTTTCCTGGTCGTCTTCTTCGTTTTCCGTAGGTCGGCCTTCATCTCGCCATATTGATTGGCTCCTTCTTTTTCTTTGTAGGTTTGCATTTCTCCATTTCTTTATTTGGTTGTTTACTCTCCTTTTCTCCTATTTCTTTTTTTGCAGGTCGGCACTTCTGCCCTTCTGCAGGTCGGCACTTTTTTATCTTGTTGGGGTTGGCCTTATTTGGATTTCGATTATTTTTGCTTGCGGGTCGGCTGTTCGAGACCGGTGTGTTTTGTCGTTGTTCCGGCTTTGCTTGTCCGTAGGTCGGTTTTCCCTCTTACCTGATGGCTCGGCATTTATCTCAGGTCGACCATCTTATTCTTTGTTCGTAAAGTAGCTATCTCGACCTTTGGTGGTGGAATTTTTGGATAGGCCGACTCTTTCGAGTAGCTGTCTTTAGGTAGGCAAAGATTTTCAGGTAGACAGAGATTTTTAGGTAGGCAAGGATTTTTAGGTAGGCAAAATTTTTCGGTGGACGATTTTAGGTAGGCAAGGATTTTTAGATAGGCGAGGATTTTTAGGTAGGAAAAGTTTTTCGGTCGACGATTTTAGGTAGGCAAGGATTTTTAGGTAGGCAAAGTTTTTCGGTGGACGATTTTAGGTAGGCAAGGATTTTTAGGTAAGCCAAATCCTAGGTAGGCCATTCCCCTTCTTTTTTTTTTTAACTTGGCTGCTCTATTCTCTTTTTCAGATGGGTAGGATGCATCTTCCGAGAGGCGTCCAGCCACGGACTACGGGGCGACCGGATGTGTTTCCGATTCTTTCGATTGGGTCAAGGCTGCCTTTGCCTCCGGGGAGTATTGACTCGACGCCTTCTGCTGGTGGTTCCGGATCGCCATCTTCCTCGGCTGGGACAAGGTCGGGTCCGGATGGTTCCGCCGCAGATATTGACACTCCTATGGCGAGCAGGGTGACCGGTTATATTGGTGATGCTGGCGGTGAGCTCGTTGTTTCGGCTCGTATTGACGTAGGATCCGCGGAGCCTGGGTCTCCCTTACTGTCTTCGGGTGACGAGTTTCCTCGATCCAAGTTGTCGGCGCAGTCTTTAGAGGATATTCGGTATGCTTGTGGGGTTTCCGATCTGGATTTTAGAGTTCCTGGTACGAACAAATGTCCTTGGACCCCTCCTCCGGGTTGGATCTGTCTCTATGAGTTTTGGTTCGAGCATTGCCAGTTATGGTTTCCGCTGCCGAAGATTTTTTTGGATTAAAGCGAGGCTAGGGAGATTGCATTGACTCAGCTCTGTCCGGGTGCGATCCGGAACAAGGTTGGGGCGATCATAGTGGCGTTGATATGAGTCTTCGTTTCTTCGAAGAGATATCGAGTGTGTTTTGGAATACCAAAGGAGCTCAGCGAACGGTTGCCGTGAATATGAAACCGGGAAACAAGATGGTGACTGATGTTCCGAGCAAGTCCCATTCCTGGTGGAGGCGTTATTTTTATGCCCGAGTGAATTTGGCGTTAGTTTGCGGTGGCGATAGTAGGACATTCGTGGATCGATGGAGTCCTGAATTTGGTATATTTAGTGGTTTTTCTTGCTGCCGTTTTCGATGTTACTTAGTTGATATTTGTTTGTTTCGTATGCAGTTCTCCATCCGGTCGGCGAAGAGCGTCCTGTGGGTTTCGAGGAGGATCTTGCGAGGATTCGACAGTTGGGAGCTCAGCAGTGGTCTACGATCGTTGAGGCTCGGAGAGCTAGGGAGTTTTGTCGTGGGATTACAGGTATTTGTTCGACACATTTCTTTTTATAGCGAGTTCTTCTCCTCCCCTTTTTAAAAAAAAAAAAAAAAAAAAATTTCTCTTGTTTCGCAGTTCATTTCGACGAGACAGGAAAGATGGAGAAGCGGTTGTTGAATGTTCCTAAGTTCTCCAGCAAGAAGGCTCCATTGGCATCCTCTGATGATGCAGGCGGCTCGTCTTCGGCTGCTCGGAGAGTCGGGGAGAAGGATAAGAGGCCGACCGAGCCGGAGGCGAGAGACGCGAGGAGCAAGTCGTTTCCGATTCGTCTTGTGCGGGTGAAGGATACCGCGGGAAAGGGCAAGGTCGGCGAGGCTCTTTCGGGGAAAGACCCGGGTCGTCCTGAGGGTTCTACTCTCGGCGCTGTTGCCCCGGTGCAGCGCGAAGAGCGCCCGATGGTGTACGCGCTTTCTGCAGGTAAGGGAGCGTCGGCGAACATGGATGGTGCCTTCGGCGAGGCGGCCAACATGGTCGGCGGGCCTAGCAAAGTGGTCGAGGGTGGCAGGGACTACTCTTTTTCGTATCAGTATGATGGGACTGATCTGTTCGCTTCCAACCCGGATGCTTGCATTGACTTATACCGGAAGATCAGTCATTCCCACAAGGAGTATGCTCCTTACGATGCTGATGCGGTCGGGGCGAAGATTTACCGGGCGATCGCTGCTTCTACTCTTCAGGTATTTCTTCTAATGTTCTTTTTTGTTTTCCTCCTTCTCTTCGTGTGCTTGATGTCGAGGTCCGTCCCTTTTTGTTGATTTTTTTTTTGGCAGATGACGGCGAGTACTAACCAGCTCGACTTCTTGCTGCGTTGAGAG